TAGTAATACTATTAATTTTTGCTATTATTATTTCTAATAATAACATTTAAATACTATTTTTTAAATTTTATTATGAATAATAATAAGTATTATTATTATTATTATTATTATTATTATTGGCATTATTATTGGTATTATTATTATAATAGTACTAATATTACTTTACTTATTTATAATAATAAAAATAATAGTAATAATAATATAATAATAACATAATATAATAATAATAATAATAATAATAATAATAATAATAATAATAATAATAATAATGATAATATACAAATAAAATAATAATAATAATAATAATAATAATAATAATTATTATTATTATTATTATTATTATTATTATTATTATTATTATTATTATTTGGCTAGCTTTGCTCGTTGTGAGTCTCTGATTGGTAAAATTTTCTACAGAGCATTATGCGTAGTATTGTTTAGCAAAACAAAGACTGCATCCGAAACTTCCTACTACTCAGTAGGTACTGCATTTGAATATAAACGAACTACTCGGCTGTTAGAAAAGTATGTTCTATACAATTTGGGGGGTTTACCCAATACTGGATAGTGGTTGGGAGTGCATCCTCTTCGTAAAGCTGCATATGCTGGAATAGTTGGCTGTTCATTCCGCTGTGGCGACCTCTAAAATAGAGATTAAGCTGAAGGAAAATGGATGAAAAACACTGCAAGTTTCAAAGCACTTCAGTCAAAAATCTATTTCCTTTTGAAGAAAATGGATAATTATTATATATATTTTTTACTTCAGAAACCCAGCTGTTACGCTCTACAATGACAGAAATTGCATTTGTCTGAATGAACTTTCCTTTTATTGTCATAATCATAATTCTGGATCTTCCAGCTAATGTTCTCTGAAGCCGAAGCCCTCTTAGAGATCATGAGAAGCAGTCAGGGGTTATTGGACTCTGTACCCTCGGAATCAGAATCTAATTAACAGCTTGAATCCTCTCTTTCTGTCTCTCCTTACAACAGATTGTCAGTATGTGACATGCAGAGCTCAAGCCTGCTCTGAATCCAGCAGAACGCATCCATTTCCTGGATACATCGAGACCAACTCACTCGTGGTTCAGGATGAATATGTGTTTGTTCAGGTAAGAACCAGAGCTCTTCTTACTTTGGTAGATGTATTAATTACATATTAAACCTTATTACATATTAAAGTTACACAGTTCTCCCAAAAATGAAAATGACCTCATCACTGAAAATGATGTATGAGATTATTTCTTCTGTTGATCACAAAGAAGATCTTTTGAAGGATGCTGGTTGCTGGCGGCCAACCTGGATTTTATTTTCTAATTTAGAAGTCGATGAGCAACCGCACGTCACGATTTTGCCAAGAAAGTTGCGATCCTGGATTAACTTCTATGTTTATCCTGGAACAATATTTCAAACAGCCAATTAGATTTAAGGGATGTGTTTACCGTTCATGTTAAGTTTAGACTTAAACTTAGGTTTATGCACTTCTACGTGATTGTTATCCAACTATTGTTCTTCTCTGATTTTGTGAATAGTTTACTGCTATGGTTGGGTTTAGAGGTGAGGAATAGCCTAGGTATGGGTTACATTTTCAAACAAAAATGATGTTCCAGGATCAACATCAAGGATCGAAACATACTTGGCATAATCATGACGTGTGGTTAATGGCAGCCACTTGAGTTCTACACTATTAACCCTAATGTTATCTTAAACAATTATGTTGACTGAACATAACTTAAAGTTTAGCATTTTGGTCCTATCACCTAAAAATATGAATATTAATATATTAGTATTAAATATATAATATAATATTAATTTTATAAAAAGAAAAATATTAATTTTACGTATGTACCATGAAAATGCATAAACTTAAGATTTCAAGTGTAGTGAGCTCAAAATCATAAATAATCCTTTGAAAAAAAAAATAGGTCATTTTCACAAATGTAATCTTGACTGTAAAATTCTATTATGTGCAACCTTTTAAGTGCAAGGTCTTTTTTTAATCAGAAAACAAATGGCTTCAGGTATAATTATCCCTCATAATATGAATAAATGGCTTATGTTTTGTTTAAAAAAATAAAAAATAAAAATAAAATATACTATATATATATATATA